AATGAAACAGTTTTTGTGGCAGAATTAATTGATTCGATCAAATTTTCAGACTCCTCATGTACTGCAGGATGTTGTCGTTCAATTGTTCCAAGGCCAACTGCGCTTGAAGTTTCATAACTTCGTCCTCGTTGTTGTTGTAAAGATGTTTCAGCGTCTGGTAGATCTCGGCTATGTGATCCTGCAGGACGACAAGGGTGTCTCTCTCTAGTCCTTCGAACAACTGTCGAAGAACGGTGACGGAGGCTCTTCGCGCTTCGATCGCTGGATCGTCGGTGAGTACGTCGTGCACGCATTTCAGAATCTGCAAATAAATAGTTTCGGATTATGATTGTAGGATGAAATTAGTGTTTAATTACGTTCGGTAAGATCGGGCCTAATTTGTACGCGAGAATCCTGCAGACTTCGCCGAGATTGGATAGGCTGGAAGCTCTGATCAGAAAGTCGTCGTCTTTGACTGCAGCCAGAAACGTGTTCAGTAGCATGGATTTATACGGCAAGACTTTTTCATCTAAAATGTTTTTACTTGTGTGATAATAGTTAATGGATTTAGTTTGTAAACGCACCTAAATTCCTGGTTAATCTGACCAGAGTCTCTCCAACTTTTAAGCGGTTCGCGTTCCTGTTATCCTCGTTCCTCCTGGACGGATCCAAGTAGTCGTCTGTCAAAGATTCTAATACGTCTTTGGGGTACATTTTTCCCATGGCGGCTAAACCATTAATAGCCATTAAATAGACGTAAGAATCGGAGTGACCAACGCTTTGCTAAAAAAAGACAAATTCGTAAAATCAAATTTTCGGTTTAAAAGCGTAAATACCTGAAATAGCGTTAAGATGAAATCCTTTCGTTCGACAGCCGAATGATCTTCGGCTAAGATCAATTTGGTTAACGTCAATAAACCGTGCGCCCTCACAGGTATATGCTGATCGCATACGTCCAGTATAGCTTTCTCAGCAGCCGTGCTGACCTTAGTCTTCCGCCTCCTCAGTTTATTCCTTAACAAATCCAGAACTTCCGTGATCAATCCTTTCAGTCCGCTGTAGCTGTCGTTGGTGAGGAGTTCGCGCAACGGCTCAACCAGCGGTTCGTAATGGATCAGGAACCCTTTCTCGTCGGTTTTCACCAGCAGCAAAACCAGAGACAGAACGCACTTCGTGATTGCCACGTTCGGATCGTTCGCCTGATGCCCTTTGCTCTTGATGTTCTTCAGCACGAAGACCATGAACGAGACGATATCCTGCGGCGCCTGATGGATCTTCTCCACGATCACCGGATCGATAGCTAAAAGACATAAACTCTGATAGATCGTCTCGCATCTGCCAGCCTTCTGGTATTCGGTGGTGTCGCTCTGCATTTCGTTCTTCAAGCAATTGAGGAGATGCAGGAACAGCTTCATCGACAATCTCGAGTCCTTCTTGCACAGCATCACCAATTTATCGGAGTACTTGTCCCAGCCGCTTTCCATCCTCTTAATAATTATCGCGTCGTCCGTTACCACGACGCAGACGTCCTCTCTCGGCCTCAAGATAACATTGTTTCTCATTCCGCCGAACATGATCTGATCGTACACCTCGTACGTGCTGTTCTCCTTGAAGAACTTGCAGATGAGTTCCGTGAGTTTCCTGTTGAAAGCGTTCTTGGATCTCGGGTCGTAGCAGTGGAAGAGAATGTTGATGACCGGTTTGATGGTCTCGATGGAAAGATTGGGCATGTTCAAGCTGCGCCCGATGCAAGACGAATGCAATATGGAGACGGATCGTCCGAGCTCGTTCAATTCGCGCTCACCCGTCACCGCAATGTTGGGATCCACCAAAACCATGAGCGGTTCGAACAACGCGTCGATCAGCTTCTGCGATTTTCCCTCCAAATGGAAGTTCTTCAGACATCCAACGAAGATCGATTGAAAAGTCGTCTTGTAAGCGGAATCCGCGCTCAGCAACCCGATGATCTGCTTGCATATATTCCCCTCGAAATCTACACTGTTGCTCAACGAGTTTATCAACTTGAAGATGGTGACCAAGGCTTTCCACGCGTTCGCCGAATCGTTCGGATCGTAACCAGCCGTGTTCTGCAGCAAGGCGACGCTCACCGTCTGAATCCCGTCTTTGGCCTGAATCAGCTTCGTCAGATTCCTGCTCACCGCTTTCACGAACCACTTGCACTCGTTCTTATCCAGCAGCACCAGTGTTTCCTTAACGTACTGCGACATCGACATCGCATCCGGGATGACCCGCCAGTAACTCTGCAACGCGGCCCTTTGATTCATGATCCTCTCGTAGATCTCGTGGGTCATTTGAAAACCGGCATCCGTCTTCGACGACGGCTTCTTCAGCGGACAATGCATCAACTGGTAAAGCCCATTCATAATAGGCTGAATCTGATTCAGCAAGATGAACGACTTCAAATAAGAATTCTTCATGCATTCCAGCAAAGTGAAAACAGTCACCAGCAGATAATTGTACTGTTTAAGAATCAAATAACAATCGTCCTTGACGAGGCAATTCAAGTTGCACTGAGAATACTGAGGCATCCCCGGCACCAAGTGACACTTGATCCCAAAGCATACGAGGATCGACAAGGCCTTCTCGAATTCCTTCTTAGATTTCAGACTGTCCAACTCGAAACTCGCTTGATTCTTGATCAATTTGAACAGGCAATGACAATTGATCAGAATGTATTTCCACAGTGGGGAATCATCGTTTCTGTTGCATTCAAACACTTGAGGCAATTCACTGAAGATCCTGTCGTAAGTTAACTTGTGCAGGTCCATCAGCTCGTCATACAAATTGGGAGCATTGTAGTCATCGAACGCTGCAATACAAACAAACAATTACATCTATTCACGTTTCCAAGACAGAAACAAATTTACCCTCAAATTGCAGATTCAAATCTATGATCAAACGCACAACATTTCTATCGCCTGCAGCCATAATTATTATATTACACACATAAAACGGCACAAAATGGTGAGTTCTATAGAATACGAGAAAAAATGTACAATTCGCAATTCATATAATGAGGTTAAAAAGAACGAAAAAATAAACAATAGTTCCAAAATTTTGGTAGTTCTTGATAATATAAGTCCGCAACCCAATATACGCCTAATTTTAATTGACTCTAATTTACAGTTTCTATTAAACGAATCTATTAATCTTTAAAAAATGTATTAAATAGTCAGTGAAAGATCGTTTAATGTTATATATGGCATTATAAAATTGTTTATATTTATGCAACCCAATTTACAATTTCATTGTGATTTTAAACAAAGAAAACTTACAAATTGAGATTATCAAAGTGTATAATTGAATGAATTGCTACAGTAAACGGTGATTGATTGAATTCAACTTACATTTTTGCTGTTTTATTGTTCAAAGTAACAAAATAAATGAGAAAAAAGAACATTACATTAATATGAAGCATACCTTACAAGCTATAAGAAGTGTTTTGTTATCAATAAATCTTTATTTACCATAGTAACAAGGTAATGTGTGTTGTTCACCTGAGGATCACATTCTGCGGCCACCCCTTAAAGCTAACACTAAATGCAGGACGGAACCACCTTGCACCTTGTAATCCTGAGCGGTCTTCTCATCATTCCTACAAGAATCCAATAGGATTATACAATATATGAAGGGAGACAAAAAAATTATTACATTTGTTTTCCAGAGAAGATGAGCCTTTGCTGCTGCGGCGGAATTCCCTCCTTCTCCTCGACCCTCTCCTTGATACGCTCCACCTTGTCAGTGGGCTCGATGTCGATTTCGATCTCTTTGCCAGTGAGGGTCTGCAAAAATACCCCTTTGGTCATATAAACGAACATAACCTGCAAAGATCGAGAACTCACCTTCACTTTGATCAACATGTTCGGTATCTGCGTGAGCCTGGCTCGGTAACACTGTATGAATTAAGCGCGCGATTGCGGTTATTGTTATTTGTGGTGAATTTTTGTATCGGCGAGTAAAACTGGCGAAAGCCGGTCAAATGTCACTGTCACTGGAATTTTGCTTTTTACAGTTGCTCCAGTTTGCAGCAGTGATGCGAAATTCGAACGGTCTACCAACTGTTGCTCTCCCTAGGCAACCAAACGTACTGAAACGAAGGTCGGCAAACTCTTTGCAGTGAAGAGCCACATTTTAAATACTGAGCCGCAAGTAGCCAATGAAATTAAGTAAAATACTAATATTTTAATAATAAATGAAAACAATTGATTCACGTATACACCAAATTTATTTGAGACTCGTTAGCAGTTACAATAATGCTGCGGTGACAGAGTTATTCAATATGCTTACAATAGTAAAAAGATAAGTTATCTCGATTGCAAATGCGAATGCACACATAGTAATTAGTAGTATGAACTTAAGAACTAAATACAACTGGCTCGTTTCAAGTAAAATCGTCGTCATCGAGTATACACGTAATGTTTATGAATTAACAGGAGACATATATTTATAAATCGGGATTTCCAATAGAATAACAGAAACAAAAGAAATTTAAAACAAAACAAAAAACAGTAAACTACGATTGTAGCGGAATAAAAGTGGAAGACGAGCAAATAAGAGAAAGATCATCGGCCGAATTGCCATGAATTGGAATTACGAATTCGGTCGAAGCTGCGAAGAGACGGAGAAAAGATGAAATTGTAACAACGTTCGGTAATACCTAATAATACTGGTATGGTATTTGCTTAATATACACGTACATTTTCATATATTTATATAATTATTTTGTTCTTAAAGACATTGAGTTGAGTTGAATTTAAGTGGTGATTTTGAACGGAATGAAACGGATTTACTATGTTTTTTTTCTTGTTAAATCTAGAAAAAAACTAAAAAAAAACAAACTACAATTTTGATTCATTCTCCTCGTCGTCATGCTCTTAAAAAAATAAAATGCTTTTCGCATTTTGGACGGTAGAAACGAATTGATTTATTTTTTGTTTTTTTTTTTTTGGGTCGTCGAAAAGTTCTTTGAGAAATGTTGGTTTTGAGAGAAAATGTATGGTTTAATGTCCCATGCAGACATAACATTTAGACATATATCTGGGAAAAATCTATTAACATTTAAAAATATCCGAATTAGTTCATTAATTAATTAATTAAGTAATTAATTAAAGGGTGATTACGATTTAACTACGTTTGGGTTAACATTTAGGCTAAGATTTGTTTTTGGGTAAAAAATAATCATCGACGCCTAGTGGGGATTTGATTTTTGGCAGCGCGTGAGGGGATTTCTTTGTTTTCTTTGTTTTTCTTGTGAATGTGTCTGAATGGATCTTAACCGTCTGCCAAGGATGGGGTGACCCAACCGTACTTTTCGTGCGTTTTCACCAGAGATCGGAAACTTTCCTCCGCGGAGCGTTTGCTGAAGACCTTCTGGCCTTTGGCTTTACGTTGGACGCGACCCTGACCTTTGACGACGCTCGCCGCGAACTGCATGATGACTGCTTCCACGGTGTACGCGCTCGCCCATCCCCTGGGCGTGAGCAGCTCCATGCAGATGGCGCCACCCTCCATCACGAAACCCTTCTCGATCCGCGGCGAGATGACGCGCATGAACGGCGGCGCGAACGGGAAGTTCTCGGGGAAGACGAGGTGCAGCAGGATGTGGTTGATGCCGAGCTCCTTCATGTCGCCGCCGAGGTCGCTCTCCGGGTCCAACTTGTATATCCGCACGTGCCACTCGAACAGGTTGTCGTCGACCAGCTCCACGGTGAAGACGGGCTCCGTCTTCGAGTGCTGCAGCCTCTGCAGATCCTTGAACTCCTTCATCAGCCGTCGAGCGCGCACCGTTCTGATGGAAGTCGGTTCCTCGGGCGGCGGCGGCGGCTTCATGGAGGGCTTGTTGGTCGTGGTGAAGCCGGGACTGCCCGGAGGTGGTGCCGGAGACACGCTGTCTCTGCATCCTCTCAGCAGTCTTCGCGCCGGAGATCCGCTTCCTGAGGCGGTAGCCTTGCTCGGACCTTCGCCCTCCTTCCCTGACGACTTGAAGATCTTGCGAAACATCGCGGTAACCTTCTCCTTCGATCTCGACGTCATTCTTATTGACCTGCAAAGTCAGAAAGCTAATTTTACTCCACCATGAATTATTCATTACTGAACACTTAAACTAAATAACTTTTATCCACATAAATCCTATTACATAATTATATATTCCAATACTTCTTATCGCAACGTTTTATCACAGCTTTTAGACGATATCAATCACTTAAAGAAAACTAATTTAAATAACATAACAATTACAAAAAGAATACTCGCTACATTCTCAAACATTCGGCTTTCATATGCATCGATTCATTCTATCTATTATAGTTTTCGAGAAAATCAATTAAATGTGAAAACACTACTTTTTCGAGCATTTTTCAAATTTCTATGCGAATTACAGCCAAACGGATAAACCACAGTAATATATCAATACTTG